AGAGGAGGGGGCCTCCGAGATGTCCATGGCCATGGAGCCTGGTCAGTCTGAAGCCACACGTAGGGCCCAGAGTGCCGGGCAGAGCTGCAGGCTGCCAGGGCAGCGCGCCCAGTGCTGGCTCCTCAAGCTTTCCAGGCAGCCGCCGCAGGCCCGCCCCCCTTCCAGAGGGGAATTTGGGCGGGAGGCCTGCTCAGGGTGGGTTCCCACCCCGCCCCCTGCCAAGGACATTCATCTTGCACAAAAGGCGCGTGTGCGGCAACAAACTCCTTCGCCATGGGGCTGCCTGGGCTTTGTGTGCCGAGCTCGGGGCCCCAGAGGCCATCTGGGGAGCAGTCGTCCCAGTGGGCGGGGTGGGGGCTCCCCTAGGCGGCCTTTCAGGCCCCGGGAAGCAGCTCCCGGGCAACCGCACTGGGGGCTGCACATCTGGCCCTCCAGTGCCTTCCTGTTCCCACAGCCCCGCTGTCCCCTCTCGCTGGCCCTGGCATGGCTAGGTGTGAGAGGAGTGCTAAAGGGACACCTGCCTTCCGCCCCATCCCTGCCACAGCAGGGCCTGGTGGGGAGGGCTGCGGGCACAGGGCCGTGGCTCTCTGGGGCTCAGTGTCTGCAGCTGTGAAATGGGGCTGTACCAAGGGTACACAGAGGATTCAGGGTAGACTGGGCGCCCAGTGGCCAGGGCTCTGGAGCCCCAGCCAGGCGCTGCCAACGCTCTGCCTCTGCCTCCCTCTGCCTTCCATTTCCTGGCAGGTCCACGTTAGGGACTGCCTGGAGTCTGACCAAGGGGTCAGGGCAAGGCCAGAGTGATTTCAGGGAGGCAGTGCAGTGTGGTCCTGCCCCACTCAAGACTCTGGGCTGAGAGATGTACATCCTGTTCAGCTTGTATGCAGTAGGTGCTAAATAAGTTTGCAGTTCCCTGCCAGGCCTCTAGCCCTGAGCACCTTGTGTCTGACCACAGCCCAGGACCTGCCTGGGGTCTTCCTGGCTGTGGACATATGGCATTGGGGGTGGGGTGGAAGAGAGCCCCCAGTAAGCCTTTCTGCTGAATGCCCCCCACCACAGGGCCCGGCCTGGAGAGTCAGGCAGCCCAGGCTTCTGTGCAGTCCTGCCTGCCCTGGTGGGCCTTTCTGAGTCTGGCAAGTGGGGTGGTGGAGCAGGGAGCAGGGTGGCCAAGGGACTTCTGGGGCCAGAGCCTGGCGGACAGGGCCTCTGTGGGGTGCCTCTGCCCCCATCCTTGCTGGGCGGCGGTCCTTGAGAGGGTGTCCTGCAGGCCCAGAGATAATCCCAGCTTTGAGAGGCTGTGAGAGGCTGGCTCGGGGACTTTCCCACAGCCCCACATAAAGGGCCGGCGCCAGCTGCTCTCCCACAAAAGGCGCCTGGCCATTCAGGGTCTCCAGGTGGGCGGGGCCAGCAGAGCAGCAGCCACAGGCTACCTGGCCACCCCCAAGCCAGACTCAGTGGACAGTGCGGCGGTGCCTCCTGGCCTGCGTGTCTCACTGCTGGCGCACTTCCTCGCTCCCAAGCCTCGCCTGTCACGTCTGCCACTCACTTCCACTCCTACCCACCCAGCCCCCCACCCTGCCCCTCAGTGTGAGGGATAGAGAGGGACATGATGAGGCTGAGACCTGGGGAAGACCTCCTCCCTCATCTCAGCTTCCTTACTTGAGATGTGGGACAGCACTGCCCCTTTTGGGGCCAGTGGAAGAGGCTCTCTGAGGCCAGCTGTTTAAATCACCAGGTCATGGGAGGAGCTGGAGTGGAGGGCTCTGGGGTCCCTGCTCCCAGGAATTTGGAGCATCTACAATGACAACCTTAGAATATGAGGACCAAAGCTGGGGGTGTTGTGCACCTGCAATCCTAGCTACTCTGGAGGCTGAGGCAGGAGGATCACAAATTCCGGTTCACTTTAGCATTTTAGTGAGAGTCTGTCTGGAAATCAAAAGAGCTGTGGGTGAAGCTCAGTGGTAGGGCCCGTTGCCTAGCATGTGCAAGGTCCTGGGTTCAAACTCCAGCACAAAACAACCACCACCACCACCACAACCACCACCACCACCAGCCTGGAGGAGGAAGGCAGAGGGGGCTCCCTGGAGGAGTTGGCTGCTGGGGCCTGCACTATCAGAGGTGTAGGAGGTGGGTGGGAATCTCTGGGAGCCAGAGTTCTAGCCTCTCCTTGAAGGGTCTGGTGTAAACGTCCCATCCCAGACATTTCTGGGACTGTCCTGTCACTCTGTAGCCTGATCGCCTCTGTGGGGCGGCTGGGAAGACCAGTCAGAGGTGAAGAGACCCCAAAGGAGAGGTCAGATGGCCAGATAGCGGCCGGCGGGACGCTAAGGGCGGGCCAGGAGCTGCTCTGGAAGCAGGCCCAGGGGATTACCACTTCCCCTGTTCTGGCGCCTGGCTGGGCCACGGGGACCCCCTGCCGGGTGCTGGCGGGCTGGACTCCTGGCAGGGAGCCTCGCAGACTGTGACCCACGTGTCCCCGGCCGGCTCACCCATTCCCCCCCCCCCCCCCCCGCACCTGATGGGGGCGGGGCGCACTATGATTCCAGCTCAGCGGGGGGGGAGGGGGCGTTGTCTTTCCCTGGCCACCGATTGGCTGTTGGGCGTGAGAAAGCGTCCAGGCACGCCCCCAGCCTCCTCGCGGCCTCCGGGTCTATAAAGGCGCCTTACCTCTGGCCACGGCCGGCTAGCACAGCCCTCAGAACCCGACAGCGACCTCCCGAGTGGTCCAGTGCCGCGGCAGCTCGGGGTCCGCGGGCACTCCTTGCCCGCCTGCTGCCCCTCCGGGCACCATCACAGCTTGATCTGGCCGAGGAGCAGCGTCCCAGGTGACCTTCGCGCCCAGACTGGCCGAGGGTGGTGGTCAGGGCTTTGCCCTGACTGGGCAGGGTGCGCGCCTGCGGGCCTCCTGCTCCTCTAGTCCGCTGCTCGGCCCCCTTCCCTCTGTAGCTGACCGCCGCAGCGGCGAGGCCTTCTAACCCTCTCCTTGCACGGAGTGCACAGGAAACCGAGGAGCGGCTTGCCCAAGAGACCTGGCACGCCCTGATAGCGCGCCGGAGCAGCCTCTGCCGCAGGGAACCCAGCGGCCGGCTGGTGAACCACAGCGCCAGGGTCCTGGAGCCAGAGGAGAGGGCCTGGGACATGGCTCCTCTCACAGCAGCGATTTTGCTCCCCACCTGTTCCGTGCCCAGCTTCAGGGCAGGGCTCGAGCAGTGCATCCTGTGTACAGGTGCACAGCAGTTCTCAAAAGGGCGATAGACTTCATGCTGAAGGAAGGGGTCCTGGGGCCGGGTTTTGTGTGCTCGGAAGGCTGCATACTGTCTCTTGTGCCTGCAGGGGAGCTGGGCCAGGCCCTCCGGGAGGGACAGGTGTGTGGGGAGGACCTGGGCACAGCCTTCTCAGCCAGGCCAGGGGCTGGATCCTGCTCCTTCCGGGCTGGTCAAAGGTTCTGTGCTTTATGTTAAAGCGGGCCTGGGTGGGAGATGCTATGCCGGGGGCCTGCAGAGGCTGTCTGCTGGGTATTGAGGGCTGTGGGCATGGTGTGTGTCTCAGAGTTGTAGCACCACGGAGTTTGAATAAAGATGCTGATCCGCAGCCTCTGCCTGAATCTCTGGCCCTCACTGAAGCTGCCTGCAACCTCTGAGGTGGGGAACCCTGTCCATACCCTAGTGGCCCTGTGCCAAGGACTTCCTGGGCTGGACCCCTCCCCTGCTGGCCTCTTCCTGGGTCCTGTAGTGAAGGCCCCGCACCATCCCTGGATCCTAATGACCAGGAAGACCCTCAGGGAGGCTCTGAGCTGGGGACCATTCTATCTCTCCCCAGGTGTGTTGGAGGAGACTTACTTTACCCCACACAAGCCCGACACCGTCTCTTCCTTATTCCCTGTGTAAGCACTGCCTTCTTCAACTTCCTGGCCTTGCCCAGTGTCACTGTTGACTATCAGGACCCAGGGTAGCCCTTGCACTTCCCCCTGGGTGCATTGCGGGGAGTCGGATGTCCTTAAAGATACCCAGAGAGTGGGGCCCATCCCATCCCCAACACTGTAAGCCCCACCCAAGGAACTCCCAGACTGACAGCTGGGGAGCCAGGGCTGGGTTTTGCTGCCCCCTGGTGGCTCCTGGCCTGGTCCTGCAGCCTCCACAGCAGGCAGGACTGGAGGTCTGGAGTCTCACATAGAAGCTGTAGGTGGACTGTCCTAGGGGTCTGGGTCCATCCCAGCTGCACAGTTCTCAGCAGCCACCAGGGGTCACACTCTGGCACCTGGCTGAGGGTGGCGGAGGGGATAGCAGGAAACCCAGGTCTGGGCGGGTATTTCCGCAGATTCTGGGAAGTTGGTCTGGGAGGCAGAGACCCAGATGGGGAAGTCATCTGTCTGGGAAAACCCCAGGTCCAATGGAGCTCCCCGTGCAGGTTGTGCCCTGGCTGAGGCTTGAGGCTAGGCAGGGGCAGCAGTGGGTGACCACCCGAGCTGTCTGTGGCTGTCTGTTGACGTCCCTGTGCCTTCATGCCAGGTGGGCTCCAGCCCGCAGGGTCGGAGCTGTACCTTCTTAGTTAAGGGTGCATCACCTTCACCCAGGAGCATGTCTCCTCCGAGGGCAGGGCGGCCTGGCAGGCATCCTGTGCTCCTTATCCAGCATATAGGAGGTGCCCCATACATGTGGGCTTGATAGAGCACGATTCCTGGAGCCCGGGGAGCCCTGGACTTAAGGTGAGGCCCAGCTGGTTGGGGGCCTTCCGTTTCCCCTTGAGGTGGGGGTGGGGGCAGACATTTCACAGAGCAGCTCCTCCCCAACCCAGCTCCACCTGGGGCCTCTGGTCAGGGCCAGGGAGGGATTGCCAGGTTCAGCTGTGGCTTCTTGAGCTCTCTGCTTTCCTGGTCAATAGGGCGGTTGGTCATACAGAAGGCCAGTGGCCCCAGGAAGCTCATCTGCCCCAGCAAGCAGTACTGGGGTTCCTGATGACAGATTTTTTTTTTTAACGGTACTGAGGATTGAACCCAGCCTTGCTTATGCAACCTACAGCCTCAGCCCTTTTTATTTTGAGACAGAGTCTTGCTAAGTTGCTGAGGCTGGCCTCAAACTTTAGAGCCTCTTGAGTCACTGGGGTCATTGGTGTGGTCACCATGCCCAGTTTGACCACGTATCTTGTTCAGGGGCATTCTGAGCACTGGTGCTTGAGGACCTTGCTGGGAACCCAGGATTCAGGCCTGGGGATGAGCGGAACAGCCTCGCTGCGGGATGTCCCCACTGCCCAGGACTCAGACGACTCTTCTGAAGTCTCATAGCACCCCTATGCTCAGACACACCCAGTGTGGGGGTCTGGTCCTTGTTCTGGAAGCACTGGACATGCTCATGGGGTAGGCTGGGCAGAGTTGGCAGGCCCAGGTGAGTGGCCAGCAGGTCAACTCACTGGAACAAGAAGGGAGGGGCCAGAGTATCGCCAAGGCACCCCCTGCCAGACTCCGTCCACTCAGCCCACAGAGGAGATGACCAGCTGTCTGGCACCTCCTATCTGGACATTCTGAAGCCCACTGGAGAGTGTGGCCACCGCACCGTCCATCTCCAGAACTTCCTCCTCAGCCCGGCTACAGCCCCACCAGCCTCCCTGACCTCTGTCTGCCCTGTGTGTCTGTGGGCCTCCTGTCCAGGGCCCCCTGGGAGTGGGGTTGTACAGCACAGTTACATGTGGTGTCACTCCTGTGGGGACGTGCCACATGTGCCACATGTGGGCAGATACTGTGTTGCTGAACCGGTGGGCACAAGCCCGGGAGGTGGCCGCTGGGCACAGGGCTGGACTGAACACCTAGTCTGTGGCTGAGGGGTGGGAATGGGCTGTGCAGCCAACCTGAGCCCCTGACGGGGAAGTTGTGTGTCCCCTGGGGCTGCCTGGTGGCCAGGCCTTCAGGGCCATGTTTGCTGGCCTATTTCTTGAGAAAGCACCATATTCAAAAGATGTGGAATTGAAAGTAGACAGCCGGCGGACTTCCCTCGACCTGCCTGGAAGCTCACCAGCACTCTGAGGACTCAGAGGCACATGTTCACGCACAGGCTGCTTCTCACAGACATCAAACGGAACCTGCCATCTCCTGCGTGGATTGCATGTGTGTTTGACGGTGGATTCCCGTGTGCATGAGTGTGCGAGCCCCTTAGCCAACCACCTCACCAAAGCTGCACCCATGTCAGCAGGAGAAGGTGCGCTTGGGTGTCTGGAGGCACTCTGCTGGAGGGACCCCCGTGTCCAAGCCCTGTCCTCAGGGAACTTACGTCTGACCGGAGACAGCGTGGACTGAAGTGTCCTTCACCCCAGGTGCCTGGAGGTGGGGCCTGTGAGGAGGGCTGAGGTGGAGAGAGGCTGTTGGGGCCGTGGGCGCCCTTAAATGAAGCGAGGACACACGGGAGCACCGGGGTCTGTGAAATGTGTCCTGGGCGGGCAAGGAGGGGCCTCCGGAGAACCGGCCCTGCACACCTGCAGCTGCCAGGGCTGTGGGCATAAGGTCTGGTGCAGCTGTCCCGTCTGTCCTTGCTGTCCGCTCAGCCCTCCCAGCCAGTGCCCAGCCCGGGCATGGACCGTGCTCTGTTGGCTGTGCTCTCTGGTCTCACATAAGCACAGCCCGGCTGCCTGGCGTGTGGCGTCCTCACTCGGCTCCGCATCCAGATTCTTGCGGGGTACCGAGCATGCCCACAGCTCGCTCTTCCCTTACTGCTGAGCAAAGGGTCAGTGGTTAACCTGTTCTCTGCGGCTGGCTCTGGGGAAGTTTCCAGTTCTCGGTAGTTAGGAATCAGGATGCTGCAAACTCCTCCCACAAGTCATTCACCTTTGCTTGTTTGCATATGAGGAGTGGAATCGCTGGCTCAGACAAAGGCGGGTCTGTGAGAATTTGCCAGAACATTGCTAAAAGCCGCTGCACCTCTTTACATTCCACCAGCAGCACCTGAAGGCTCCCCCACGCCACACCCTTGTGACACATACGTGGGTGTGTCGCGGTGGCTTTGATTCGTATTTCCCTCCTCACCCACCATGTGGAGCCAGTGTCCTGAGCTCTCTCTGTGTCTTCTTCAACCTTTTGCCTATTTAAAAAAATGGTCTGTTTGGATCTGGAATGGCCCCCAAAGGCCACATGCTCAAGGCTTGGTCCTCAGGGTGGTGCCAAAGGGAGGTGGTGGACCTTAGGAGCTGGGACCCTCTAGGAGAGGGTTGGGTCATGGACATGTGCTGTGGAAGGGTATGGAGACCCCAGCCTTTCCGCTCTCTCTTTGCTTCCCAGCTGCCATGAGCTGAGAAGCTTCCCCTGCCACGTGGTCATCCCATGAGGGACTCTCACCACAGACCCAAAGCAACAGGGTCAATCGGCCATGAACCGAAGCTTCCAGCCAGAAGAAAACTTTCCTCTTTTTAAGATGGTTATCTCAGGTATCGTCTTACAGTACTGAAAGCTGACTGACATCTCTTCTCATTGAGCTGTAAGAGTTTGTTAAATGTATATTTTTTTGGATACAAGATTTATGAACTGCATTCCCCCGCAGCGTGTGGTTTGCCTTTCATTTCTTTAACATCATACTTTGAAGCCCAGAAGCCCAGCTTAGCAGTGTTTTTGTGGCAACTCACTTGTGTTTGAGGAAAGTCTATTTACTTGCAATGAAAGTCTGCAGGTGACGCGGCAGCTTCTGCGCTTAAGTCGTGAAGTCCAAGTCATGTGTCTTCCTCTAACTCCATCCTTGACCAGCGGGTGCACCGTGTGCAAAATTCCAAGGCCGTGTGGGGAAGTCCCTGCAGCCTCATCTCATCTCGGCTCTGGGTGTGCAAGTGGCCTGAGTGCTGTGCTCAGCGCTTGCCTGTCGCCTGTCTGGCTGTGCATTCCTGTATTTGTCCTTGGCTGGTGGGTGGTGGGTTTCTTTGGTTTTAGAAAAATCACTGCTGCTGTTGTTTCAGGTGGTCTCCCTCCCTTCCTGGGGGGGCGGCGGAGGACTCCAGGTCCACTGGTGTTCCACGCCCCACCTTGTCCAGGGGCTCCTCGAGGACGTGCCGCTTCTTCTTCCTTCTATTTGAAGTTCATTTTGGACGGTTCTATTCCTCCACACTGGCCCATGTCCTCCTGGATGTCCACCTGGTGTTGGCAGGTGGAGGCCTGAACAGGGGAGAGGGAAGGCTGTCCTAAGAGGCGGGGGCTTGAGAGAGGTGATGAAGGTCACAGGTCACATGCTCCCTGGGGCCACGAGGACTGGTCCTGGAGAGGAGGAAGGTCAGACAAAGCTGGGGGGCGGGGTGGGGGGGCGGGGGGGGTGGTACGCAGACAGCAGGCAGTAACAGCAGGATGCTCAGCCTTGCTTCATGAGCCTCATCCTGGACCTCCTGCCTCCAGAACCACAAGATGGTAAACAGCGCTCTCCAAGCCACCCCCCTGGGGGCTTTTGTTACAGCAGCCATCAAAAACACGTGTGCACACTCGGCACGAAGACACTAATTTATGCAGGTTTACCTGTCTTTTTTTTTTTTTTTTTTTGGTTACTGAGGATGGAATCCAGGGTGCTCCACCACGGAGCCACACTCCCAGCCCCTTCCATTCTGCATTTTGAGACAGGGTCTTGCCAAGTTGCCCAGGCTGACCCGGAACTTGCCATGCTCCTGCCTCGGCCTCCCGAGTTACTGGGATGGCAGGTGTGCCCACCCGGCTCAGCATAACTTTCATTTCAGGTTTCAGGAAGCTTCACTGAGTCCTTTTTTAATAACTCCTATTTCTCTCATCCTGTTGCCCTTTTTCTTCAAAGTCTGTTTTAATTGTTCTTTCAGGGTCCTTGTCTGACAGTTCTATCATCGCTGTCATTTCGGGGCCTATTTCTGCTGACATTTGGTTACATTTCCCTGGGTTCTAGTCTGTGGGTGGCTTCTGTGGCGAACGCTGTTTTCTTGTTCTGTTAACCTGGCCCCAGGGTGGAGTTCCATTTAAAAGATGCCATCAGTTAGCGGCTCACCTTGATCTTTTGTGGATTTTTTTTTTTTTTAAAAATAAGTTTGTTAGAGCAGATCTCCAGTGACTTTGCTCTAGGGACAGTTTGGCTGCCCTCCAAGGACTGGCCACTGCGGGGTCTCTACTGACCACCTGAGTGGTCCCCACGGCCTCCCTCAGTGGCTGCTGGGGCTGGAGCTGCCCTGAGTTCCTGGGGACGGGCAGCTCTGTGGCTCATCCTTCTCCCGCGGGGCCTAGCAGTTGGGAGACTCTGGGACTAGAGGACCCTCTGGTCTCTGGGGTCCCCTCCTTTCTGGAATGCTGCTTAAGCAGTCCCGAGCACCTGGACCCCGCACGACTCCCCCCTGGCTGCTCTGGGCCAAGGTGGTGCAGTCCAGAGCTCCCTTGACTCTGGACGCTCCTCCCAAGGCCACGTGCCCACGTTGCTCAATTTCTGAAAACAGTTGATTCATACATTTTCTGTTTCTAGCTTTTGAGGTAGGAGGGTAACCCCGGGCTGCAACCCCAGCACAGCTGGAGCGAAAGGAACCAGTTCCTCTTCCGAGAACAACTTGGGCTGTCTCCAGGGTCCTGTGCTGCCCTGGGCAGTAGTGGGCATTCCTGCACACACCCCTTGGCTCCCATGAATCTTCCTGGACCGGACTGTGCCACGATTTATAAACCTTCCCTACTTACCTCCAAATCACTGCCCAGTGGGCAGTACCCTGACAGCGTTCGGGGAGTCCCAGGCCACAGTCCGCCTCCGGTGGGTCCCTGCTGTGCAGCTGGTCGGGGACACTCCCCTCTGTGCTGTCCTGGCCCTCCTCCTGCGGCTTTCTCTTCCTCTGTCCACAGGGACACCGTCCCCCTGGGCACAGGGCATCTGGCTGTGCTTGCCCAACTCGGAGTACAGGGGCCCCGAAGCCCAAAAAGTCTTCCTTGCTGCAGCGATCTGTGGCTCTCCCCTGTGCCCAGGTCCTGTCCACAGCTCAGGAGTCCACACGTCTAGTAAGGAGGCAGGAGGAGCCTGACCTGGGGTCCCTTCCAGCGCCTCCACCTGCGCCCAGAGCTGCCTGGGGTGGTGTGGAGCAGCTGCTTGGCTCTGGAACCTCTTCTCAGGTCCCCCTGGGCAGGAAGGCCTGGGCCTCCGTGTGAGGAGGTCGTGTCTGGCACCTAGGGTCACGGCTGTGTCCCGACCTGGGTTGCGGGAGCATGGGTGTTCACCCAAGGGGAGTGTGCAGGCCCTGCAGCGGGCGTGGCAGTGGGGCCTGAGCAGAGGAGAGCCCAGGGGCCAGGGACAGGAGCTCCCGAGAGGCCCCTGAGGTCAGGGAGAGGGCAGCGTGTGGCTGGAGTCGCAGCCGACTGCTGGGACTCCAGAGAGCAGAGCAGCAGAGGTGGGGCCAGGGGGTTGGGGAATGTCCTGCAGGTGGGATCCTGGAGCCCAGAGGTGGCAGGTGGGGGGGCTGGTCCCTGGCTCCCAGTTCCTGCCAAGGCACAAGCAGGGAGAGGAGGACCAAGGGTCTCCGGAAAGGTGAGCTTGAGACGCAGCTGAGATGTCCGAGCTGGCAGACGTCCTGACCTGGAGCTTGGGTTCCCCAGCTGGGAACCGGCCTGCGTCACCGCGTTCCGCCGTGAGGAACAGGCTGGGTTTCCAGCAGTCGCCTGACCGCTGGGAAGTCCCAGGCTGCCCCAGCTCTCAGAGCCTCCTGACCATGTGTCTTGCACCCCCGTCCCTCTGCAGAGTCAGCTTCTCTGTCTACCTCCACCCTCTGCTGTGGGAGCTGGACGGTCCGCTATGGACATCCTGGAGCTGCCCTCCGCGTGCTGCCTTGTCTCTCAGCAGTTCCCACCTGGGTGGCCGGACTCCTCTGCCAGGTCCACCCTGGTCCATCCTCCTCTACAGCCTCCAAGCTGGACCAAGTCTCTCCAGCACAGAGGGGGTTGGTGCTCTGGCCCCCATGGGCACCAAGCACCCCTCTTAGGGTCGAGGACTAGTCGTGCCTCCTCAGGGTGGACCCCAGTACCTCTGTCTGCTCCACCCCTGCCCTCCCACCTTGAAGGCACCTATCTCCCCTCCAGAGCCCCAGGTGGCATTAGCTGCACATCCCAGAGCCCGCAGCACCAGAAGTTGACCTTCAGACTGCGCTCCTTCACTGGACCGGGCCAGGAGGGAGGAGCCAGGCCTGTCTCTCAGCCCCACTGGGCAGGCGTCCTGGGCTGCACAGGGCAAGGGAGGTGGAGGCTGGCCTGGAGGCAGAGGAGGGGAGGGGCCTGGGTGCCTCAGGACCCCATCCTCACACCCTCCAGGACCCCGTTCAACCACGTGGGTTCCAAACACCCACATTTCCCCGGATACTCCCTACAAGAAGAAAGGGGAAATGTCACAGGGGACTTCCAGACAGGCTGCTGGACTCTCTTGTGGGGAAGCTCGATCTGGGGATGACACACCTGAGACAGTAGCACCCTGGAGACTTGGGTCGCAGAGGGCACTCGGCAGTGGGGGCTCAGCTCTGGGAGGCTGCCCTCTTGGACTCCTGCTGCTGCCACCGAGCTGGGGTGGGGAGTAGCTCGGCCTGGTCTTGGTGGGAGACCTGTGTCCTGTGTCTGTGACCACCTGCCTCACCCCAGCCCTGAGGGTGTGCTGAGGTGGGTGGCCAGCAGGCCTCCTGTAGACACAGGAAGGAGGGCCCAGGGAGTGGACTCCTGGGCCACCCACAAGGAACATGAAACCCAAGAAGCCCCAGGGAGCCCCAAGTCCCACCTCTCCCTGCTGATTCCTGTGGGCCAGGGTGGAAGGGGGTGGGGAGTCCCAGCAGGTGACAGCTAGGGCTGTGGGCCACCTTGGGTAGGGAAGAGCTGGGTCCAGTCTGTTCCCCAGAGCCCTGAGCATGATGGTGATGCTGAAGGACTGAGCCAGGGACTGAGCTGGCCCGGGGCCTGCACTTCCACTTCGTGCCCTGCCGGACTTTGCCCCCAAGTGGGGAGGGGCGGCAGGCACAGCCTCCCACAGAGGCACAGGGTTCAAACAGCAATCAGAGAAGGCCTTGGGGAGAGGTGGCACGGCAGCAAAGATCCGAGCACAGACGGCATGGGTGCTGGGCCGGCCAAGGAGCTCGGTGGCTCCTCCAGCCTGCATGCTGGGTGCAGGTCCTGGCCCTCACCGTGCCTCAGTTTCCCCACTTGCCGGGGGAGATGGCAGATGAGCTGGTCTCTGAGGGTGTACTTGCTGGGTGTGGTGGACTGAGGGCCTGGGTGGGGGCCCTGGGGGCTGGACCAGGTATAGGCCCTTATCTCCCTCAGAGGAATCCTTTGGCCTCATTGAAGAGTGTCCCTGGGGGCCTGGGGATGTCCCTGCAGCCCAGAACCCACTGTGTACTCTCCAGGGCTCACTAGGGTTGGAAGAGCAGGGGGTGCCCCTTCCCCTTCACTGGAAACCCCCACATGTGCTGTGGCAGAGCCCAAGCGCCTGGGAAACAGTTGGCCCAGGGCCAGCTGTGAGATGGGTGTGGGAGCTGGGGGTGTCTCACCCTGCTCCTGTCTGCCCCCACTCAGCCTCGAGGCAGTTGGAGAGCTTTGCCCCTTGGTCTGTTCTGCTCCACCCACCCTGCAAGCCTGTCCCTCCTCAGCCCGGCTTTCCCACCCACCATGTGCAGTTAGGTAGTGACCATGAGGACATTGGTGGCTGTGGCCCTGCCAGCCAGTGTGTCCTCTGTTAGGGGAAAGTCCTCCTTGGGACATCTGGACACCCCAGCTGACCCCAGTGCCCACAGCCAGTGATGCTGGGAGCTTCCTAGTTCAGTGTCCCTGTCCCCAGGGCTCTGCGTCAACTCTCTATGCCTAGGCACTTATGGAATGTCCTCCTGCAGACTGCAGGCACAAAGGGGTATGTGGGAGATAGTGCCTCTGGGGACAGAAGGGCCTGGGGCTGGACCCTGGAGAAGGACCTTGGACCACTCAGGACCTGGAAGGGCTCTAGGTCAGCCCAGGGCCAAGGGTCCTGCAGACTGGCTCATTGAGTGGCCTCTTGTCTTGTTAGATGGAGAGCCACCTTTGACTGACCTCATGAGGTCAGCAGAGGGGTGCTAGGGCCCATCAGGGAGGCCTGAATGTGATGGGGTGAGGGACCTTGAGGGGTTGCTGGGCTGCCTCTCATGAGCCCCTCGCTTGGAGGGTGGCAGTGGGGGAGTGCAGCCCAGTGGGGAGGAGGTCAGGGTCTGGTGGAGTTTCCACATGGGAGTCCTGAGCAAGGCTCTGTCATGCTCCGTGCCCCCAACCCAGCCCAAACTGCCCAGTCTGCTTGCCTCCCAGGGGACGAGTGGGGGCCCGCTCAAGGATGGCAAGGGGGTCAGGCTGGACCCTGCTCCCAGGTGCTGATGGAGAGTCACCCCTTCCAGAGCTGTGCTGGGAAGGAGCAGGCAGGAAGTGTGGGGAGGAGCCTGTGGGGGGGGAGTGGCCTGTTGGAGGGAGCACACTCACAGCACTAGGCCAGCAGCAGGAAATCCTCAAGCTCATGTCACTGTCACCGCAGGTCGCTGGGAACTACGGTGGGCCTGGAAAGGTAGGCGCTCTCTGGGGGGGCGCTTCCGGAGGACACCCAGAGGGGGCTGGGCACGGGGCAGGAGAGGACTTTCTGGGCACCCCTGAGGCTGGTTCAGTGGCTCTGAGGCTCCTGTCCCATGGGTTGCCTGCCGGCTCCTTCCTAGCAGTGTCCACACCCTCTGCTTTGCCTGGCCCACTTCTGCCTCCCGCAGGCCCACCCTGAGCTTAATGGGACCTCAGCTTGGTCCTCTCCGTGGGCTAAGACCCTCCCTTCTCTGCAGGAAGCTACCCTGGCCCCTGCAACCAGTCACTCCTGCATCAGGGCGCAGTGGGCAGAGGGCTCTGGCGGGGACTGGAGCTCGCACTTGACGGCGTTAGTTTCTCTTTCTCTTTCAGATGTTGGGGGTTATGAGGAAGGCCGCGAGTCCTAGCCCTGAGCCTAGTCCTGCAGGTGGGGCTCCGGGGCCTGAGGAGCCCTGACCAGGGACATGGAGCCTCTGCCAGGCTGGGGGCTTCCCTGGTGGCGCCAGGAGCCTACAGTCAATGCCCTGAAGCTGGTGAGTCCCCCAGCTCTTCTCTGTCCCCATACCTTCCCAACCCCTCCTGCCCCAAAGTCGCCCCCAGCTGTGTCCCCTCCCCTGGCCTCTGCACTTGGCCATGTCTGGGTCCCAAGCTCACATGGGCCTTTGTGTCCCAGATGTTCAGCTTCCTGGAGCTGACCCAGGTCTCTGGGCACTGCCCCTGTTCTGGGGTTGGGGGCAGGGGTGAGCCCCAAGGGGATGGGTACTTCCCGGGGCTCTTGGCAGCCGAGTGAGCCGTGTCTTTGTGTGGGCCCTGGAGCAAGTGGAGCTGATCTCCCCCGCAGCTCTTCTGCTGATAAGCACCACGTGTGTTCAGGGCAGATAGATAGAGTCCAAGGGCTGGGCGAGGACTGGCTGGGCAGATAGAGTCCAAAGCTAGGCGGGGACTGGCTTCCTGTCAGGGTGGCTTTCTTGCCTGCCCAGATGGGTAAGCCCAAGGTCCTAGCAGGGCCACCCTCTCCCGGAACCTGAGCAGCCTGTCTGCCCACCCCAGGGTGTGACCTCCCCAGGGGCAGCAGGTCTAGCCCAGCCCAGCAGGGAGGCTGGCAGGGTGTCTGTCCAGTGGGACCCGTGGCTCCTGAGGGAGGTATGGGGCTCTTGGGGTCCCACATGGTCAGGCAGGGGAATGGAGGCTGGAAGAGTGTTCAATCCCACTCCACTCGAGGCTGTATAGGGTCTCTCAGGTCATTCCCTGAGCCCTACCAGGGCCACCCAGCCCTAGAGTGCTGTTCCCCACTCCACCGAGGGGTATCGAGGACATGCACAGCCTGGCGGAACCCACGGGGCAGCCTGGCAGCAGGGCAGCTCCTCTCCAATGCCCGTCCCCTTCCTGCAGGCCCTGTGTCTCCTCCTCCTCCTGGGATCCCCCCCGTGTGTCCTTGCCCAGTTCCTGTGCAGAGAGGAGGAGTACCCTGTGGGCACCGAATGCTGCCCCAAGTGCAGCCCAGGTAGGAGCAGCCCTGAGCCCAGCTCCCGGAGCCTCTGTCCTCTGCCACACCGAGGGTGGCATGAAACCCCTGGCCCAGGGGCATAGACAGTAGGGGCAGTCCTCTGCAGCCTGGCTCCTCAAACCGTGGGCTTCTCGCTGCTCTGCTACCCAAGTGTGGTCCTGGGGGACAGAGCTGGCCTGGATGGCTGCGGGCTGAGGCTTAGAGGGGGACAGGACCACAGCCAGGTGAGGTCCCAGGAGGCCCCATGTTCTGCCAGAACTTGCAACCTGCTGCAACGCAGGCCCAGCCTTGGAAGAGCTGGGGAGCAGCGCAGTGTCCTAGGGTCCTTGTGGTTGGTGTCACACCTGCTTGGGGCTCAGGCGGGTGTGAGGGGTGGGCTCCCGCCTGGCCCCCTGTGGCTGAGAAGCTGTGGACACCCTGGGCTGCAGGTTACCACGTGAAGCAAGCCTGCAGTGAGCTGACAGGCACAGTGTGCCTACCCTGCCCCCCCGAGACCCACACCGCCCACCCCAACGGCCTGAGCCAGTGTCTGCCTTGCCGAGTCTGTGACCCAGGTAGGAGCCGAGCATCGGCCTGCCCCAGCACAGCCACCTCCATGGGTTCTCCCTGCAGGAGCTGCCTGCAAGGGACCCTTGGGCCCGTGTCCCCCTTGTCATGCCACCTGGGCCTCCCTGAGCTCAGGCTCTGGCCCTTCATGAGGGCACCACCAGCCGGGGGCAAATGCCCACCTAGCCACAGGCCAGCCTGCCTCCATCAGTGAGGAGGTTCTCAGGGTCGCATGGCCCAACTCCTCATCCCTGGGGTCCCATCTGCACAGCCATGCGCCCTGTGGCCTCTCCTCCTCCTTGGCCGTCTGTGTCCAGCACTTCAGATACGGGCAGCTTTCTGGGCTGAGGCAGAGTCGGGGCCCGAGCGCTCCCTATCCCCAGCCCTCCCCGGGCCTGGGGCCGAGCCCCTAGCCCACCGGAGCTGTCCAGTTCCACCCTCCCATTGGAAGGGACACTCCTTGGCCCTGGCCGCTTCCTCGCTCTCAGAGGCTCTCTTGGGTTCCAGCCTTGGGCTTGGACACCAGGCAGAAGTGCTCCAGCATGCAGGACACGGTGTGCGGCTGTCGCCCAGGCTACTTCTGCGAGGCCGAGGACAGGGAGCACTGTGTCGTGTGCCTGCCCCACACCATCTGCCACCCTGGCCAGAGGGTACAGAGCAGAGGTGAGCCAGCCGGAGGCGTCTACCCCAAACTCACCTTCATTCCCAGCGAGCCTGCTGCCTGAGTCCCTGATGCCCTGGACATCATGACCACAGCTTGGAGGTCTTTAAAGGGACAGAAATCTTGGCCAGACCAGGCCCCACCCTCCCAGCCCTGTCCTGGCAGCAAGAAAGGAGGGAAGCCCTGCAGCAGGGGAGAGCAGAGGGGGAAGTGGGCCCTGGTGGCTTCACCTCGTGCTCAGGCCCTGAGTCCTCCCACTTCTCTCACACACCAGGCGGGGAGCCCAGGTGCATGGGGTGGCCTGTGGTCAGTGCACTCTTCTCCCTGAGTGTGAAGTGTGACCCCCAGGTCCCGCCCGGTGTCTGACCAGGGCACCACCCACATCACTTATGGAAGGAAGGCCCAGGGGACCCTGGGATCTGATTCCCTGCTCTGGGTGTCCAGGACAGTTCCAAACACCATCCCCACTATAACCCAGTCCTTCAGGAAACGGAAGTCCCAGAAGAGACAGACCCCAGGCCCCGCCCCAGGGAAGCCCAGTTCCCTCCTGGCCTGGAGCCCATGGCCCCTCTGCCCGTCCCTCTCCACCCGCAGGTACAGATAGCCAGGACACAGTGTGTGCCAACTGCCCACTGGGGACCTTCTCTCC